GGAGTCTCCCTGCCACCACAGCCAGTCAAAGTAAACCTGAAGTCCTTGGGTGGTCCACAGGTCCCAGCTGAAGCAGCTCCTTCCTCCCCGGCCTCTCTGACAGCTTCCTGCATGTCCTCCCAGTTCTTGGTCCACTACGGGCCACAAGCGCCTCCTTGCTGTTCTGGAAGCCAAGTAGCCACGTTCCTGAGTTGTTCAGGATTTCCCCTCACCTCTCTTAGTCCTTATATCCTCAGGAAGACTGACCTTGATGTAATAGGGGGAAATGTGTCCCCTCCAAGAGTGAGGTGTTCAAGTCTGGACCCACCTCACCAGTGCCTGAGAATGAGACTGTGCTTGGAGACAAAGTTTAAAGAGGTGATTAAGCTCAGCTAGGTCACAGGTCAACAAGTGGCCCCAGAAGAACGTGAGGGGGACAGAACCGAGAACAATGTCTACACGCGTGGAAGGGAGGCCTTAGGAGAAACCAGGCCTGCTGCCATCTTGACCTCGGTCTTAAGGCTTCTATTGCTGCAACCAAACACCATGAGCATAAAGCAAGCTGGGGAGGAAAGGGTTTATCTGGCTTACACTTCCACAGTGAAGTTCATCATTGAAGGAAATCAGGATAGGAACTCAAACAGGGCAGAAACCCGGGGGCAGGAGCTGATGCAGAGGCCACGAAGGGGTGTTGCTTACTGGCTTCCTCGCCATGGCTTGTTCAGCCTGCTTTCTTACAGAACCCAGGACCACCAGCCCAGGGATGGCACCACCCACCATGGGCTGGGCCCTTCCCTATTGATCACTAATTAAGAAAATGCCTGACAGACTTGCCTATGACCTGATCTCATGGAGGCATTTTCTTAATTGAAGCTCCTTCCTCTCAGATGACTTTAGCTTGTGTCAAGTTGACATAAAACTAGTCAGTCCAACCCCTGACTTCTAGCCTCCAGAATTGCAGGGAGACACGATTCTGTCACGTCAGCCACCCAAACGGTACTTTGCTGTGACATCCTCACAGACCTGTACACATGATCACACTCTGTTCTGCACCTTGCCCTTCCCTCTGACCTCTGACCTCTGGGCCTGCCTATGCCTTTGCCCCTCACGTTATTCATCACCTCCAGCACTTTCTGGCTGAGGTAGGTGTTTATTGCTTTCAGTTTGGATCCTCCAAACACACACATCATAGGAGCTTTGTAAGGGGCTGGATTTTTTTTTTAAGATTATTTACTTTTATTTTACATATATGAGCATTTGCCTGCACGTACACATGTGTACCTTCTGAGTACCTGCGACTCCCTGGAACTGGAGTTACAGACTGTTAATCGTCACCATGGGAGGGCTGAGAACTGAACCCAGAAATTCTGCAAGTGCCTCTTAATGGCTGAACCATATTTCCAGCATGCCCCCACCCCAGCATTCCAAGCATCTCCCGAAGTATGTGACAGGTAGCTGGTGCTCAGTAACTACCCACTGGTGGGTGGACTCTGGTGCTTGTACCCCTATCACTAGGCACCTATCTTCAGAGGGGCAGTGAATGATAGGGAAGCCATGATTTCTCGGAGTTGGCTGCAGGTGTAATATCATAAACGAAGGAGGAAGACTTTCTAACGCAGTTTTCTGTCTTACCATCTGTCCCCATTGTCCACACATCTATTAGTAAGTGGCAGCCCTTGCCCATTAAGACTGAAAATCAGAGAATGCACCTGGATGTTCCCCTCCCCTGAGCAAAGCTCTCACAT